GAGGTGATAGGCCCGTGCGGAGCACGGGCAATTTCATTGAAATTCTGCTACAGCAGCCGTTGGGCCCGAGTATATAATCTTACGTTAGAAATAGAGAGAGGAGTCCTAGAGCACATTCTTAACCTGGACCATTTCCACGATTGATTAAACCCCCAAGATAGTTGCTCGTTATCGTAGTATAACCTGTCACTCATCTATCTCTCGATATCTCTAAAAATACATACTAGGCCAATTATTGTCACGTTCACAGCTAGCAAGCTAAGATTCTGTTGAGGAACTATCTAAAGGGCGTTCAATCTGTTGTAGATAGGGGCTCAACTGCCGTAAGTATAAATGAAAGAATACGAAGATAACCTCCTAAACTGGATGCACTGCTACCTCCGTTCGCTCCACAGTGAATGTGCTTGATTTTAAAATAGCTTTCTGGCATGGTATTGTGCTATCCATTGAGCTCTGCTCGGCTGGAATGGGCTCAATCCGCACAAACGTTTGCCGATCTATGTCTTTACGCGCTTCGTTGTTCACCCGGTTGAGCTCTATTGTGACAGGGTCGCCTTTAGTAGATCTCTGATGAGCCGATGTGGCATTACTGGTCCCTTCGGCGTTGGCGATGCGGGTAGATAAGAGGTCGATTCTATTTAATTGTATATTAGTATCAGTTGCTTCTAGTGAGGGGGAGTAGAAAGTAGAATAGGAGCAGGTACTTACAGCATGATTATAGGGAAGTAATTTACGCACGTTGTTAGCAAGCGATCCAATTCGCCAGCTAAATTGGTAGCGCTCTGCGCCGTCGTGTGGAAGTGATACGTAATTGTTCGACCGATACCAATGATAGCTAGTGAGGAGACTCGGACCTCAGTGCTGAGTATGAGTTGTTTAAACAAGTTGCTCCCTGAGGTGAGAAACCGAGTCTGGCGCTCGCCTCGGATAAAGATCCGGAGAAGGAAGAAAGCGCTAATGGTTTCAATAAGAGCCAAGGAGCCAAAATAGCCAATATGAAGCTCATTTATGAGGAGTTGTCTAGTAGTGCTGCTAGATTGAATGTCGAGAATTCTGTTGCTGAGGATAGCAATGCGGAAGGCGACGACAGATACTATAAGAAACCAGAAGAGTGAGAAGAAAACGATTCTGGATTTTCCTTGTAGGAATCGTCGGAGGATGTCGTAACTGTAAAAGCATAGTCCAGCTTCTTGAATCTGTAATATCGTTAGCTTCTGGCAGGCTTATCAACCTGGATTTGCCATGTATTTACCAACCAAAACATGTCTGCAAAAGCGGCTGCTAGCACTTTTGCACTTGTAGAAGCGTTAGAGTAGTATGCTATGTAACACAGGCCATTCGCAATAGCTGATGTGATAGAACACACAACGGGCACGGCCCACAGCGTGGAGAAGCCCGTTATTGGAACAATCAATATCGCAGCGACAACATTGAGTAAATCGAAAGTGCTTAAGATGGCCCAGCTAAGTTCGAAGTAAGGAAGAACGGAGTCTGAGGACGACATAGTAGCGATGGTTGAGCAAAATGTGGAGGAAATTCGACAGAAAAGTGGGCTTTAGTACTGGAGAAGGGTTCATGCCATCCTAGACCAGACTCACTGGCCCATGACTCAGTTCTCTAGCCTAACACTAACTAAATGGCTCGAACTTTGTTTGCGTCTAGAACTTATGCTACTCATGATGGCACTACAGACAGGCTAAAGCCATCTCATCTTTTGCCTGCGCCTCTCAAACATGCAAAGATGATACGATTCAGATATTGCGACGCAAATGCTAATAGTGTCTATAACAATTTGTAGAATAAGGGATGAATACGACGTCGAAAATTTAGGGTCAAAATAAACCATCAGCATACATTTGCAATGAAACATTTAGGGATTATCAAGTAATTCTAGAAGTGGTCGGCAACACAGTAGGGCTGGATAATACCATAAAGGATTTGCATTGGTTCGGTTGGAGCGCAAGAGCTGTCTCCAGCGTTGCAGTAGTGATTAGTCTCGCCAACCCCCATCTCAAGGACTAAATCCATTGACTCATTTGTTTTGTCATATAGTTATACCCTTTTCCCGATGAACAAATGATATCGCGAACCTAGCGTATAGCTAAAATTGTATAGAGAAATGAAAATTAGTTCTTAAAACGCACTGATCAGTAGTATTGTCTGTTCCTGGGGTAAGTGGAGCTCCTAATTTGCGGCAACAACGTGCTAGCGCTAAGACAGCCGCATCTAGAAAACAGGTTCCCTAAGCTCTAGAAAAACTCTTGTGCGAGCTGTTGACGACTAGATTTGACTTAGGCTATAAGTGTAGCTCAGCTCCGGTAAAGCCTTGCGCCTATGTTTGGCCTAGTAAGTAGTTTTTGTCCGCTCGAGTCATTTAAACTCGAGCTTCGACCTATGGAAGCAGCGGAGCTGCACCTCCTGTCCCCCGCACCCCTGCTCTAATTATCTCCTAAATCCTAGTCATTGTCTAAGTCCCCGCAACCTGGATGCAGGGAGAAGCGAAGGGAGAGCGGAGAGCAAGTACGCTTATGAGGAAAGGCATTAAAGAGACAGCCAGCTAGAACAGGAGCCGTGCATTGGTGCTATTAACGTCTAATAAAATTACTAGTATGTGGGCTGCAAGTCGCTCCAGGGCTTCAGTACCCCGCGAAGCCTACATAAATTCTAGGCTGTCATCACGTCGCATTTGCTCAGAGATATGATCTGGCGGAGGTCCATGCAGTGCACAAAGTGTCAAATCTAGGACTCTGCGCATCCTATCTGCCAGCCCATGCTGCAATTGCGACGAGCATCGTTGTGAGCACAGCCGTTGCGAGGAGAATAATTGCGTCTGTCCGCAAGAGACAGCCGCAAAAGAAGGCGCTGCATGATGGCAAGGTAGCTGTTAAGGGGTGAAAAGGCATTGTCAATCCGCAGCAACGCAGGCCATTTTGGATCGGACAACTTTGGCTCCCCTGTTTTAGCGAGCATCGCCTGACATTGTGTCGGCACGACTTAGATGGTTTAGTTTGCGGTCGGGCCAAACGCACACCATCTACGTTAAAAGCGTAAGATAGTACTCAAGCACGTAATCTAATCGGGGTCTTACAGCTACCGACTACAGCACACTCTGTGGGTACGTAATCCTTTCACTTCAGCTTCGAAATGAGCTAATGGGCTGACCGCCCGCTCTGCCTAGCGAGCGATAGGGCACACAGCCCCCGCGGGTAATTTCAGCCATAACAGCTTTGTCCAGGGCCACAAGATCGCTAACGAGCTCCACTAGTAAGCCGCGCACCCTACTAAACCTGACGCGTGTAAGGGGCTGCGCTCCGGGGAGCAATCACGAGGTATACGGAGGTGCCTTTCAAAAGTCAAGGCCCCCCCTTTCAGAGAGCTAAAAGCCATTATGCCCAATTAGGTTATTCGCCTGAGCACGTGAGCAGGCCTTATGGTGCAAAGCTCGGTATCATTGCTTGACTGTAATTAACTAACTACTTGAAATTTTATGAAATATCCTCTCATTCAGAATTAGTTGATAGAGTAGTAGAAGGAGTAGCACAGACTCGACCAGCGTCTCCCCTGCATCACGCACGGATCAACCCACCAAAATCAACACGCGATAACTCCGCCACCATAACTGATATCGAAAAGGTAATTATAGCAATCGATTCGCAAGGTCTGAAAGGTCCTTTATCGCACCGCGCAGTTACAAAAAATCTTAGTGTTGCGCCGTTAACGTTAACGCGCCGACATCACCAACAAACCCACTCTCGTGCTGCTGCTGCTGCAGAACAACGACAATTAATCAGCCCACAATATAAAGTCGAGCTTGTCAGGTATATACAAAGACTATTAGAGCTTGCTTTACTACCTACGAGAGCTATAATAAAAAATATAATACTACTATTACAAAATAGGAGCCTTCTAATGGCTAGGTAACTAGATTTCTAAAGCGGAATAGAGAGAGTATCACCGTCAAGATCTCTACTAGCATCGATCAAGACCATCATAAAGCGAATAATATCGAAAAATATTATAACGTACCTCACGGGTTCGTGCAACACACGGGTTTGTGCAACACTTTTGCCAAGACCCCACCAAAACCACTACCCCACCCCAATGTCGCAACAACAACAGCAAATAGAGCCCTCTAGTGAATGTCAAATACAGCTTGCTCTCCAAGCTCTTAAACAAGACGCAAACCTCTCTCTACGACGCGCTGCAGCTATCTTTAACGTAACTCTATTAATACTAAGTTGACGACGCGTAGTGTAAGGGGCTGCGCTCCGGGGAGCAATCGCGAGGTATACAAGAGGTTGTATTCAATAAGGAGCTAAGCTCCTAAGCTACGTAGCTGTCTATATACAAGCTAGTTACCTAGGTAACAATTAGACTAGTAAAGTCTAGGTGCACGAGGCAGCTTCTAGGTCCTGCGGCTGTTATCTGAACGTCGTTCGGGCGGTGCGTAGAGAATCCGGGTGCTCGAGACAGCACCCAGGTTCTGCGAGTAGGCCGAGATTCCATCGAGGAGCTATCTAAAGGGCGTTCAGCCCGTTATAATACCCCCCTCCTTAGGGTAATACCGCATCGCCTCTCTAAAACCCTTCTAGGAGGCGGCCCTCGCTGTCTCGTTTAGCCTCTATGAACGCTTCCTAATAATCTACTACCTCAGCGTCCTCTAGTAGCTCTGCTAGTTCAAGCGTTATTTAGTGGAATCTTTTCTACTTCACCTCGTAGTATAGCTTACGCCCTCTCCTACGGCGGCGTACCTCTTCTACTATAATATCCTCTACCTCCTATTCGTCTTCTCCGTCTACCTGCAGCGGCTGTGGCTGATAGTCATCCTGAACCTGGTTCGGGAGAGGATCGTTGCTAGCGAGCTTTAATCGGTCGACATGAAAAATAGGGTGCAGTCCTAGCGGCGTATCTAGTTAAACTAAGTAGCTATCGATTATCTTAACTACTGTGTACTTAGCGTTCTTCTAGTCGAGCTTCTTAGAGCTTCGCCCTGTGCTATACTACTAATCGAGCTTCAGCTATACCTTATCGCCTACTTAGTAGCTCTATGCCTCTCTCGAGTCTTATTCGCCTATCTCTCCTGTTCTTGTTAAGCGACTGCCATTCCTGCTTGGGCTAGTTCTACAGCTTGCTGTAGCTTGACCGCAATCTCTGCCGCTTTCTGCTTATCTGAAAGTGTTGCAACTGAGCATCTGTTGGAGGCATGAACTTTGTTAATAATACCACATACTGATTGACCGTAGATTGGCCGATAGTCTCTATATAAGCAGATGAGACGACGCAGATGATAAAAAATCAATCCTCTTCACATTTTCCTCACGCACCATAGAGTGCGACAGAAAGCTATTCGGCTGGTTTCCGCTGTCGTCTTTCATTTCCTAGCTCTAGCTACAGCGGCTCTACTTCGTGCCCGTGCTAAAGGAAGAATAGTAACATACCTGTTGATATTGCGTTTCTGCCATTAATGGCGATCTGGGCTATTAGGTAGAGTCGTGCCTAGTCGTCCTAAGCCTAGTTCATGAAAGATTGGATATAGGTCTTCTAGACGCTGTTTATTCTTTCCGTGGCGCTATTAGTTTATAGGTGGTAGGCAGTTAATAGTCTTCGTTTAATCTTTAGAAGCTCACATAGTCTCGCCTACAGAGCGCTTACGGATTAGCTGCCTCTATTAGAGGTTATAGTATCTAGTATCTAGTAGTACGCAACTACTCGCTCGATAAACTTCTAGGCTACTATCTTAGTCTTTGTGTTTAGAAGAGGTACGAAAATCGCGCCCTTACTAAGCTAATTAGTAATTACTATTAGGCTAGTTATGCCTTCGCTCTCTAGTAACCCTTTAACGAAATCTATAGAGATCTCCTTCCAGATCCGAGTGGGTATCGGCAGTGGTTTTAGAAGGCCTTGCGTGCCCTCTCTCTAGAACTTACTCTGTCTGCAGGTGTCGCAGTTTCTAACGTATCTTCAGATCAAATTAGTTATACCTGGCTAGAAGTAGTCCCTTACGAGTATCTTATAAGTTAGCTCGCGCTCTAGATAATTAGTGACTAGTAAGTCGTAGGCGCTGCTAATAATTGCCGTTCGCAACTCGTCGTTGTCTAGCACCTACTTGCGCCTTCGGTAAAACAGGACTCTACCGTCTGCTAAGTAGTCTTTAATTAAGCACTTTAGGCCTAAGTTCGCGGGGAAACGTCGCTCTTGGTCCTCTACTACCTTCTTCGCTCCTTAGTAGACTTGATTTTTCGTCGCCGCCTTCTTCTAGAGTTCTTCTAGCTCGTTCTGCTGCGTTCTTTCTCCTTCCTCTAGTTCTTTAGAAGGAGACTAGTCTGAACCGTCTTTAGTCGGCGGAGGAGTGTCTTCTTCCTACTAGGATTATATATCTAGCACGTCCGACTAGTCTTTAGTCGTGCTAGCTGTCTCTACTTCTCTTTGTGGTCTCGCGACCATCACTAGGGCTCTGCCGTCCGAGCCCTCCTCGGCTAACTCCTCGTAGCAGGAGTTCGTTGGCTTGAATATTTGCACGAAGCGCTTCTGTAGGCGCTCGTCTTCTGCCCCTATAGGTAGGTCCTATTCTCTTCTTAAGAGCGCGTTAGCTCTTACATTCTGATTACTTGGCCGGTACAGCAGCTCTAGGTTGTACCTGCCAAGTAGGAGCGACCATCTTATCTGACGCTCGTTCAGCATACGGGGTTTCATAAAGTACTCTAGGTTCTTATAATCCGTAATTACCTTAAACTTCTTAACTAAACGTAGTTTAGAGTTCTATTCTTTAAGGCATTATACTACTACGAGTAACTCCTTATTATAGATCTTATAGTTATACTCGTGCGCGTTATTCTTCCGCGAGAAGAATGCGCATGGTTGTAAGACTCTATCGTCGCCGTACTGCGATAGCACTCCGCCTACCGCGTAGCTACTTGAATCGCACTTAAGTACTATCTCCCGATCTGGGTCGAACGCCGCTAGCGTTGACTCTGTGATAAAGATCTCCTTTAGCTTCTTAAAGGCTGACTACTCTTTAGCTCCCTATTAGAAAGGGACGTTACCTATAAGCCTTATAAGGGGTACGGCTAGCTATGCGAAGTTCTTGATAAATCTTTAGTAGAAGTTCGCGAAT